ATTATCAAGGGTTCATGAGGGAGGGGGGAGTGGGGAGGAAGGGGAAAAATGAGGAGCTGATGCCAAGGGCTTAAGTGAAGAACAAATGTTTTGAGAATGATGAGGGCAACGAATGTACAAATGTGCTTTATACAGTTGACGTATGTATGGATTGTCATAAGAGTTGTATGAGCCCCCAATAAATGATTAAAAATAAAATAAAAAGACAGGAAAGAAAGAAAACAAAATGGATGCCAGAAGAGACTCTGAAACTTACTCTAGGATGTAGAATTGCTAAAACAAAAGAAAAGATAAGCAAAAGAATTGACCAGGTGATTTCAGAGAGTAGTTGGGAAGACAACATATTATAATGAAAGCCAAAAAGACTTGGACGTAGAGAATCAAAAGGGAAGGACACACTCAATATTTCTCTAACTAAAAGAATGGAATGAAAAATTCAAGCCTTGATTTGCAAAATTGAAGAACCCCTGGGCAAAACATTGTATAACACAGGGTACATCAAAAGAAGATAGAAGAGATGCACACAATCGCTGTCCCCAAAAGAATTGGTCCCTATTCAACTATGGACCAATGACATTGGAAGAGGAAGATCAAGCTGCACTGAAGGCATTATCATTGGAATACCATTTGAGATGTTTCAACAGATGCAGTGCTGGAAGCATTCACTCGTCGATGCCAAGCAATGTGGAAGACCTGGCCAACCAACGAAGATAGCCAACTTCATGCCCATCCTAAGAAAGGAGATCCAAAAGAATGCAAAAATTGTTGGAGAATAGCATTAATATCGCAGGCAAGGAGAAGTTTCCTGAAGGTAATTTCAAACTGTTCCAGCAGCACATCAACAGGGAGCTGCCAGAAAACTGAAGCCAAGGATGTGGCACAAGGGGTATCACTGATGACGTCAGAGAATACCAGACACAGGACATATGTGCTTCATTAACTATGCAAAAGCATTAGACTGTTTAGATCATAGCAAACTGTGGCTAACATTTCAAGGAATGGGAATTCTAGAGCTCTTTATTGTGCTCATGTGGAACCTGGACATGGATCAAGAGGCGGTTACACAAACAGAGGGGGGGTAGTGTGTGTGGTTTCAAATCAGGAAGGTGTGTGTCAGGGTTGTATCCTCTCACCATCATCTTTATTCAATCCGCAAATGGTGGAGAATCACTGCGCAAGATCAGAGGATCCTTTTGTGAGGATGGTAGAACCCCCTCCTCCTATGCATGTGCCTCAGTGCTAGTGAGAACTGCCAGTAATGCCAAGAGTTATAGTTTCTGAAACCACAATCTTAGTTTTAAAGTCAGGCTCTAAGGAAATACTTTGCAGAAGGACAAATTGCACTTTTTGTAAATGTCCAGAGTTCAGAAAAGACACCCTTTGTTATAGACTATGAGCACAAATGTATATTTAATCCTTGGATAGAGATGAAGGAAATACTAAAAATGCAATTTTCTGAAATAATTAATTCTATGTCACAAGGGAGTGAAAAGCAAAACCCCGCATCTCTCATCTTTCTTCAGAGTTCCAGTGTGGTGCAAATGGTTAACATGGTTGGAGGTTCATGGCTACCTAGAGGTGCCCCCGAAGTAAGGCCTGGTGATCTACTTCCAAAAAACCCCAGCCATTTCAAACCCTATTTAGCACAGTTATACTCTGACTCATAGGGTCACCCTGAGCAGGAGCCAATTCATGGGCAATAGGTTTGATCACCCCTAGTGCAGCCCCCACCCCCATCCCAACGATGGGGGATAAGCCAGGGCTCTGTTAAGGAAGGCTGACTTGCTTCTAACTCGCTCCAGAAAAAGAGCAAAGAGGAGTTACTGGTCCTCTCCCTCTGCACCCCATGAAGTTACTTGCTTGCTCTCCTGGGTGGCTGACCAACTCCAAACATGGAACTAAATCTGCATACAGACACATGGGCACAGAGGAGGAGGAAATCTAACATCATACCAGAGTTTCTCTCTTCATTCCTGAGGCGACCGGATGGATGCTCCTGCGGGATCCGAGAAGCAGAAACCTCCGTTAATTCTGACTTCAGTTCTTGGAAGCCCAAATTCCATTTAGATACTGTATTTAAAGAAAGAGACACAATGGTACCATGAGAATTAACTCAGGGATTGACTGTGCTGGAGATGGCATTGAAATAGTTTCCCAAAGATAGGGTGTCTGAGATTTGTTTTAAGATTGTGGTGGGAGGAGGCAGCAGAGGGAGAGACAGGTAAACTGAGATTGGACTACGTTGACCATTAGTGGAGCTGGGTGATGGGTACCTTGGGGGTGTGTTCTACTTTCTACATTTATAAAGATGTGAAAATTTCCATAATAAAAGCAAAAACGATTAAATTTGTGTCTGGTAGGATAGTAACAATACGTGGACCAACTTCTACCCAACTAAGGTAGTTGCTTCCAGTAGGGCTCACTTCTGAGAGAGCAGGTGTGCAGTTTTAGGACATTGGGAAGATCCTTGGTGTCATCTCAGTTGCCCGAAATTCAATAATTAACAATTCCCTGCTTGGGAAAAATGTGTATTGTTCATTCCTTTGTCAGAATGCAAATGTTCCTGTAAGAAGTAAGCACATTGAGCTCTATCTAGTCCATTGGTATTTTCTGTTAGGCCTTTTCCTGAGATCAGTATTGAAGAAGGAAAAGAGAGTATATGCACGGTTTCCACAGGGCGGTAGACAGGGTTTGGTCCACAGAGAAGGGAAAGAGGGCAGACTGGGAGATGTGAGTGCGCATCTCCTTTTGCTTGGGATTGTGGTCATACAGCAATCTCTGAAGACAGGGACGGAGCAAGCAGGCTCAGCCTTTTCCCTGTTGGTTCTCTGCCTCACAGTAACCAGTAGTAGTGGTGATGTAGCCCAAGTTGCTTTACTTAATATATTCGCCCAAATACAATCTCTATGGACGTTTTATAACTTGCTGCATTGCTCAGAGGCAAATAGGTTGGATGTGCATGTTAACTGGAAGAGGCCGATAATTGTGAGCATCTTCTCTTATTTTCATGTCTGTGATTTAGAAAGGTAGGCTGACTACGATCTTGGTAGGCAACAGAGGCACCGTGAGACTGGCCTATGGTATAAAGAACCTGAATGTTCTGTTTGCTTGCTTATGGTCAATCATTGTTTTCCTTGGTTACCCTGAAATCAGAGTTAACGTGAAAAGACCTCTACATGTCTCCCCAAAGTGTAAATCCCAAAGTAAAGCTGTTTATTTATTCTCTATGCATTCTGACTTCAAACAGGTTGCCATCAAGACACCTTGCTTTGCCATCAGTTTCTTAGCTGGTGACCTTCCCATAAACCTTTCTTCCTCTAACTTGGGCAGAGTGAACGGCCATGCTGCTCCAGGGTAAAAAGTTGTGGTAACAGTGTCTCAGGATTCCCAAGCGGAGAGTCCTCTCTGTGCCCAAGACTGTGCTCCGACACAGCCCAGAGGAGACCAGGAAGACACTGTCTATCTTTGGTTTGCTCATCTCACCTAAATTTACCCTCAGGCACAGGGAGGTTCTCAATCCTTCTAAATCAGTGGTTCCCAACCTTCCTGATGCCACGACCCTTTCATACAGTTCCTCATGTTGTGGTGACCCCCAACCATAAAATTATTTTTGTTGCTACTTCATAACTGTAATTTTGCTACTGTTATGAGTGGGGTGACCCCTGTCAGTTGCCCGACCCCCCCAAAGGGGCCACGACCCACAGGTTGAGGACCACTGTTCTAATGGACTGCAAGTCATCAATCTTATACTACTTGCTCTTTCACAGTCTCTGGAATCAGGGTACCCCCGCTCAGTGTTTTAAATGCAATGAAACCTACTACTGTCCACTCCATTCCAACGCCAAGAGCACTTTCCCAGGCTGTAATCTTTTTTTTAAAAGATCTTGCTAGCAGAGGATGGTTTCGATTCATCGACCTCTGGGTTATGGGCCCAGCACGCTTCCGCTGCACCACTTTGCTATCTTCCGGGCTGTCATCTTAAAGGCGGAGTCAAAGCACCCACCTTTAGGTAAGCAGCTGAGGGTCTAACCACCTGCCTCCAGGGCTCCCTGGTGGTCAGCTTCTAGTCTGTGCTGTCCGATCATTGGGTCAAGATCAACCTGACTGCAACAGGCGTGGCTTAGTTTTGGTTTGTGAGTTCAGTAAGAGTGCCCTGGTGGTGCAAAGGTCGAAGCACTCCATTATTAAGTAAAAGGTTCAAACCCATTCAGAGGTGCTTATAAGGCCTGGCGACCTGGTTCTGGCTAGTCGCACAGCTGGAAACCTCTGGAGAACAGCGCTCCCCTGCACGCACGCCCGGCCTCACCCTGAGGTGGAACCAACTTGATGGCAGCTGATGGGCGCTGTGTTTGTGAGCTGCGCAGGGCCGTAGGTGGCGAGCACTCACTTCCTCTGTTCCTCACAACTGTCCTGAAAGTGGGTATGAGGCTGCTGTTGGACGAATGGGGAGAGGGCACCAGACAGATTAAGTAGCTTGTCCAAGATCACACAACTAGTAACTGGTGGGGTTCGAGCCTGAACCCTCATACGCCAAGGCTATGGCAGTTGTGAACCCTTCCTCTCTGCGGTGGGGAGGCTGTCTGTTATCAATTTGTCATCTCAGCTTCAAATACTAGCGACCCCATGTTCTGTGTTAAACTAGGTATTAATCCTTTAAAGTGGTCCCGATGTTAGGCTTTCCCGCTAGAGGGCGATAGCGGGAGGCTGCCGGAAGAAGCATCCTGAGTGGGGGGTCTGCGCGGGTGAAGACGTGCAGGGGAGCAGGCCCAACACAGGGTTGCTCTGAGACCTGGCAGCCTCAGCCAACTGATCACCCTTTGTTAAGTAGCCAGATTGATCACCCTTTCGTTAGGTAGCCAGATTGATCACCCTTTCGTTAGGTAGCAAGATAGGGGGTTGTTCCTCTCCATGCCCAGGCACCCCCAATAGGAAGTTGGAAGCCGATAAAGGCTAAAGGGCAGGAGCCAATTCAGGAGCCAGTGAGGTGGGGAGGGGGTAGGCGGGCGAGGAGGGGCCAGTACACCTAGGAGAGCCGTACACCTGGATTGGCTCAATCTAGGCCAGATGGGCTTAATTCAGCCAATGGTGTCAACCAGTACCTCCGACCACGCCTCCCAGCCGCAGGCCCCAGAAGATTGGAACCAGGGGACTCGAGGGCCCTCTTTTCCAGCTGCTCCTTCGCCTTCCGCTAGGCCTGCCGCGGTCTCTTTCTCTCTCTGGCCTCAGGCCTCCACGTGTGGGTGTGCAGTGCCCCGGGGTGCCTGAGTGCAGTTACTGTCACACCTGGAATTGCTTCTATCCTTTATAAAAACCCACTTGGATCACGAACCAGGCTTTCTCTCCCGAAGCCAGGAATCGCGGTCTTTCTCATCCGAGCAATCTAATCGACAGTGCATGATCCCCATCCCCTGAAGGCCAGCTGCTTGTGCTGGCCTCTCGACTCTCCACAGACCCCACCTGGGCTCCCCCTCTGCGAGGCCGCTAATCACCTGTTTCTGCCTGCACTCAAAAAGGTGACATATTGCAACTCCTGACCAGCTCCTGTCTGGCCAAGCCAGGGGATTCTCTGCTATCTGACGAACACCCCTTCCCTATCGGAGCCCTTCTTCGGTAGTCCCCCTCAGCCCTGTGGTTGTTAATGCTGATGGGTGCATTCCAGCTCCTGGCGACCGACCGTACAGAGCGGGGAGAATTGCCCCTGTATGGCTTCCTAGGCTGTCATTTAAGCGAGCCGATCTCCAGGTCTTTCCTCCTGAAGCGGCTGGTGGGTTGGAACCTCTCCATCACTGCCATCTTTCCTTAGCAACCCAGCGCTTCACCGTTGCACCACCAAGCCCCTCCCCTAGAGTACCATGAAGAGTTTGCTTAGATCTTTCATGGCTCTGTGATCACAGTTAATAATTCTTTATTTTAAGCTTCCCCGCTGAACCTATAGGTAGTGCAGTTGGTTAAGTGCCAGACTACGAGCGGAGAGGTAGGTGGTTCAGTTCTACCCAAGGTATCACAGAAGAAAGGCCTGGCTGTTTCCAAAAGGTCTCAGCCTTGAAAACCTTATAGAGCCCTGTTCTGCTCTATCCTACAGGGTCACTACGCGTCCGAATCAAATCAAAGGCATTTATCACCAATGACAACAACAGAGAATCCACCTGGAGTCAGAATCAATTCATCGGCAGTTGGTTTGGTTTTAGGGGTTTTGCTTAACTTCCTCTGTGGTTTCTATCTCCTGATCAGACTCAGTATCCTGGTGGTGTCGAGGTTACACTTTGGACTGCAATCCTAAAGGTCAGTGGTTTGAAACCACCAGTCACTCCTTTAGTGAAAGATCGGGCTTTCTACTCCCATAAACAGTTACGGTCTCGGAAACAGCAGGTCCTGAGTTCCAGGTTGCATCGGGCCCTCAGAATTCAAAGCAAGAAGCCCTTCAGCTCAGACACTCTCATTGACTCTAGTTCTTTGCAGGAACCACACCCTAAAGGCTATTTTTTTTTTTAAATAAATAAAGAACCAATGTAGAGGGCGGCTTCCAGAGCGGCAGGAGGCCCGGTTCCCAGTTGGCAGGTAGGCTGGATTATGAGTCCGGGTAGAATCAGCCAGGAGGATCTGGCAACAGTCAGACTCTGAGTGGAGCTGGCTCCCCTGAGGACGGAAGCCTGCAGAAGATGTAAAGGCAGGCAGGCAGTTATACAAAGACCTGAACTGGCCAGGGGTACAGCTTCCGCAATCGACTTTGCCATTTTCCAGATGTGTGGCTTTGCGCGGGCCTCTCCGAGCCTCCGTGTTCTTAGCTGTACAAGCTTTTAAAAGTTGTTTTGAGGATTACATAAGAAAGTACAAGTGAAAACAGTCCTCAGGAAAGAGGCACCCAAACTAAAATTTCTCCTGAATGTTTTAAAATCACTCAAGCTTCATTCTGAATATGGGAAATAACAAAAAGAGACCATGAAAATGCTCAGCAATATATTGTATTAGGTGATTTAATAACGTTTAGCCTTTTGTCTTGTTAGAATTCAGTCTTTCTGTTCTTAAAACATTCTTATCTATTACCAAATTCTGGAAATTGTACACTCTGTCCTATCTTTCTAATTTATAGACTCTCATTCTAGTAAGCAAAACCTAGAACTTGAACTCATAACTAATTAATATGTTTTTTTACATCTTGGCCCAGGAAGAAAGGCCTGGCCATCTACGCAATGAGAACCCTTCGGATCCAGCAGCCCAGTCCCGTGGTACCTCGGGTTGCTGTAAGTTGGGCCAATGATTTTTGTAGTTTTTTCTATCATTGCCTGAAAAGTTAACTCAAGATCACATAAATGAAGAGAATGGAGTAAAATAAAGGGGACAATATATTCATAGGCTGTCACAAAGCCTCATGGAAAGTGAAGATTAGCCAGCAGACTGTGGTCCTGGGTGCTGTCCCAACAAGTGTGAGCTCTAGAAGCAACGTGTGTTGTAGAAGCATTGTATACAGATTGGGGGAGCTAGGATGTACATGTGGGGGTGACTGACATGGGTTTGGCAACAATCCTGGCTCAACGCAATCCTATATAGGATTTCCAAGGCTGTAAATCTGTACGAGAGAAGGTAGTCTCATCTTTCTCCCACAGACGAGCTGATGGGTTTGAACAGCTGACCTTGCAGTTAGAGCCCAATACCTCTCTCACAATGCCACTAGGGTTCTCTCTATCTCTATCTCTATATTCTCCAACATTTTATTTGGAAACTTTTCGGAGCAATAAGAAACTTGAAAGAATAGTACAATACATACCCATTGCGTCATCCACCCAAAGGCCTCTGGGAAGCAAGGCCAGGCCCTTTCTCAAAGCCACAGCCTTGTAGTCCCTGTGGGCACAGTTTTACGCTGACACGTATGGTGTCACCAGGAACCGGAACCAACTCGACAGCAATTTTTTTTGGTACCATTCACTTAGATTCAATAATTGTTCTTTTTTTGTTTTTTTAACTCATAGGAAACTTAAATGAACTGCGTTGACTGAACTACGCCATGTATCATCTTTTGTATTATTAAAGCTATTGTTATATATTATTTTCATTAGCAAACCATCCCATGACAATGGGTCATGTAGAGAAGAATGTTAAGAAAAGAAAATATAGTGAGGATTTTTTACACAATGGTTTCACACAATAATTACAGCTCAACAATTGTTCCTACTGTGCCACATTCACTTTAACTTTCTCTCTCTCCCTCTCTCTATTCAGTCTTTGATAAACCATTTGAGAAGGAACCCTGGTAGGTTATCCATCGGGCTGCTGACCACGAGATTAACAGTTAGAAACCACCAGCTTCTCCCTGGGACAAAGAGGAGGCTTTCTACTCCTGTCAAGAGTTACAATCCTGGAAACCCCTGGGGGCAGTTCAACTCTGTCCTGTAGGGTCACTCTGAAGGTAGTGAGTTTGAGTATACCATTTCCAAGTGAATTGCAAACATTGCAACCCTTCACCCCATGAACTTGAACATCCACAAAATATCATGTCTCACCCAAGAAATGGATGTGAATATAATATACAATCTAATAAGCAGTTTTTAATTCTAATTTTCCCAAATATCCCAAGCTTGTCCCTTGTACCTTTTTATCTCCAGTACAGAAACCAACCAGGGATCATGACCTGCCTTTGGCTACTGTATCTCCTTTTTGTTCTTCTGTTGAGTTGATTCTGACTCTAACAGCCCGATAGGGTACAGCAGAATGGCCTCATAGGATGTCCTAGGCTGTAATCCTCACGGAAACAGACCGCCTGGACTTTAGCCTCTGGACCTGCCGGGCAGGTTCCAGCCACCAGCCTTTGCTCAGCAGCTGCATGCTTAGCCACTGTACTACCAGGGCCGTCACGGATCTTGTCCCCTTCAGTCTAGAGCAGGCCCTCCCCTCTTCTGCCTTGTTCTTTCTCGACATTGACATCTTTGAAGAGTCCAAACTAATTGCCCTACAGTAGGAATAACCATCTATGAACAAATAGTCAAAAAGGGATTGTTTTTCAAGTTGGACAGTTGGTAACTTGGTGTGTTTATGCATAAATCTATATATATCCTTCTTGAAATATATATATATAAGTTCCCATTATGTTTTACTTCCATTTTCCATGAACTCTTTGAAGCCCCCTCATACATCTATGCATCTTGCCCACTCCTTCATTTCCATCAACTGTGAAGATTTGTCGTGGACAGCCTCCAGACTTTGGAACTACTGGCCTAAAGAAAAGGATCGCAAGTACCTAATAAATTCATAATAATAACAGGATCATAAATAAAGCTAAATACTCAACACTCCTGGAAAGGGGTTGTTTTGCCTTTCCTTCTGCCTGTGCTCAGTGTGTGTAAGCAGCTCAGCTGCCGCTGTGGGAGAAGCAGTGGACTGCTCCCTGCAAAGTCAGCTGTTCAAAACCATCAGTGGCTCCACGGGAGAAAAACGAGGCTGCCTCCTCCTGTAAAGATTTGCAGCCCTGGAAACCCTAGTGAGGGTCACGATGCTGGGCATCGATTCAGTGGCAGTGGGTTTGGTGCTAGGTGTGCAGCCTCTAGGAGAGAGGAGGGCAAGAGGGGTGGGTCTGTGGCCTCTGTGCATGGTTGCCACCCACCATGTCACCTGCAGGACTCAGGATCCCTCCTCCCCAGATCCCTACCTTCCTTGGAGCCTTGTGGTGTGTCCTGAGAGGCATCTCGCGCCTGGGGGCACTGGCTCCTTCTCAGGCTTGCCACCTCCTGCCTGCTGGTTTCCAGCCTCCTGACCAGGTCCTCATTCTCCTGCCTCAGGTGCCTCTTCTCTTCCTCCAGAACAGACTTGTCACGCAGGAGGTTGCTATGGGCCGTCTCCAGCTGGTCGTGCTCGCTCCGCAGGGTGCCCAGTTCCCTCTGCATCTCTTGGGCAGGGTCCTGGATTCCAGCAGGCTGGGCCCGTGTCAGTTGCTGGAGCAAGTTCTCCAGAGAGTTGAGGCGGACCTTGGCAGCCTCCAGGTCGGCACGCTGGGCGCTGCTGTCTCTCTGCAGGTCCTGGATGGCTGACATGGCCTGGCCTGGCTCAGGGCAGCTGGACTCGTGGGGACTGGCCACACTGAAGGTGTACTGGCATCGGCCGCTCCGGTCATTGGCCTTGCGGAGCTGGGCTGCCCTGGCCCCGGCACTCCATGCCACACAGGCCAGGAGCAGCAGCTGGACAGCTGGCATGGCGAGCCCTCAGCGGCAGAGATGTGCACACAGGCCCTCAGTGCCGAGGCTGGGCGAGGTTTCCTCGGGAGACTGTCGTCCAGCGAAGCGTCTGGAAGAGCGGCCCTGCTGGCTCATGCGGAGCTCCGGGGTTTTATACATCCTGGGAGGCAGCCCTACGGGTGGGGGAGCAAGCGGTTGGCCACGTGAGTCCGAGTGGGGCCGCGCACACGGGGCTGGTTTCACACTGCTGGTAAAAAGTAACTGTTGGCAAGCCTGTTTTGAAATTCTTTAAAGCAAGGATGTCGCATAACACCCTCCAGACACCCATTACCATCCCTCCTGTAGCTCCAAGTCCAGTCTGGTAGGGCACACATGCAAGGATATGTTGTCTGAATTCTGTGAAGCTGCTGGGTCAGTTGGGCCCTGGCACACTCCCAGAGAGATAGGGGGAAATACATGTTCCTCTAAAGCTTCGATTCTTGCTCCATAGTCCTGAAGTTAGACCTTAACCTAAGACGCTGTGAATTGGTGTCTGTTACAGCAGACTAGAGGGTACTATTCTCAGTGCCTGAAATCCGATAGCTATATATATATATATATATACACAAGAATGAGGTTAGAATAAGAATGTTTTCTTATTCTAGGTTAGAATAACTAGGCTAGAATAAGAATGTTTTAGATAGATAGATAGATAGATAGATAGATAGATAGATAGATAGATAGATAGATAGATATGCAAGAACTAGGTTATAATAAGAATGTTTTCTTGTAGAGGAAAGAACTAGGAGGCAAAGGGTAGTCATACAGATGTAAATATAGGCATATAAAGATGTAAATATATTTATATATGGCAAGGGGGAAATAGATCTATGTACATATATTTATAGGTTGAGTATTAAGAAAACAAATGGACAGTGGGCCCCTGCACAAGTACTCCCTCAACACAAGAACACTTTGTTCTAACAATTCAGCAATCTGAGATGCTCACCTGCCTGGCACGATTGCTGACAACAATGGGTGCACAAGCAATTGTGGTGAAGAAAGCTGATGGTGCCCAGCTACCAAAAGATATAGCACCTGAAGCCTTAAAGACCTGAAGATAAACAAGCAGCCATCGGAAGAAGCACACCAGCCTGTCCTGACTCAATCGCTGAGGACAAAGGGAGTGCATTCGCAAAAGTGGTGAAGAAAGCAGATGGTGCCCGGCTATCAAATGATACAGCATCTGGGGTCTTAAAGGCTTGAAGACAAACAG